GATCTTTAGCTTATGTGTGTTAAATTGGATATTATGAAAAACAAGAAATATTGAAGCTTTCTATGCATTAAGATTTGGTAGTATACAAACTTTGATCCACTTTATATTTTTCGGTAGGTGGAACCATGTAGAATAGCTGGCATAAGAATTTTCTGGATTTTTTTCCCTCAAGTGATACTACTAAAATGGAAACCTGAAGATTTTTATAAGCAAATCCAGGCTAACATTGATTCAAAAAAAGCCACCAATATGCTGTAGCAGTGAATATTGCAGCCAAACTGAATTTCCTTAATTATAATCGGGTGAATTGGGGACTAGGAAAAACAGCTTGTTTACACATTTAATCATCCCCTATAGGTAAGAAGCTCAGAGATTTTCCAGGTGAATGATGCCTCTGATAAATATATCTCTGTCTGCGGACAGTAAAATGACTCAACAAATGCCATATGTAGTGTTTAGCTCTCGAGGAGACCTATGGCCTAGTTGGAACACATCCTGTATGCTGTGCCTACTGAAGAGTAGCATGAACAGATTGCTGGGAATAGCTCACGCCACATAGTGTCTGTCAGATGTAAAGTGCCAGGTCAAGTAGTGACCACATGCTATGTGGACACTGTGATTTTTCCACTTCCTTCAGTTACTAAAAAGCTTTGAAGAGGCCACACGCAGTGGCTCATACCTGTAATCCCAGCAGTTTGGGAGGCCGAGGCGGGCGGATCAATTGGGGTCAGGAGTTCGAGACTAGCCTGGCCAACATGGTAAAACCTTGTCTCTACTAAAAATACAAAATTAGCTAGGCGTGGTGTCAGGTGCCTCTAATCCCAGCTGCTTGGGAGGCTGAGGCAGAAGAATCGCTTTGAACCCAGGGGGTGGAGGTTGCAGGGAGCTGAGATCGCGCCACTTCACTACAACCTGGGCGACAAAGGGAAACTCTGTCTCAAAAAAAAAAAAAATTAATTAATAAAAAATAAATTTACAAAAAAAAGCTTCAAAGAGGAACAAAGAGAACAAGTTTCAAGAACAGTATCAGACAATAGTAAATTATGGTATGATACTTGACCATTATATTATGATGACTAATTTATGCCAGCATTGATTTAAAAATGGACAGATGGTATCACTTGCAATTTTAAGCATTTATAAAAGAAACTGTTATAATAATTGATACACAGGATTTTCTGGCATGAAATTCTATCATTGAATATATTCTGAAGAGGAGATCCATTACAGCAAAAATATTACTATTCTTATATAAAAGATAGTAGCCAGGTATAAGCAGACAAGACAAATAAAGGTGGAACAGTGTGCTATAAAGCCAAAATTCTACTATGGCCTAGCAGATTGCTAAAAATTGCACTTAGAGTACTGAAAGTATATGCTGTTGAGTGTGTGTGAATGATATACTAGGACCTTGCCACTCGAAGTATGGTAGGGGACCAGCAGAATCAGTATCACCTGGGAGCTTGTTAAAAATGCAAGTTATTTGGCCCCACCTCAGACTTACTGAATTGAAAATTCTGGGAGCTGGGCCAGAAATCCGTGTCCTACAAGCCCTCCAGGTGCTCCCAGTTTATGCTACAGTTTGAGAGGCACCATTCTAATTAGTTACAAGCACTCTCCTGATGGCTTGTAGAACTGCCCGAGCAAGGGACTTAGCGTGTAGAGGTACATTATGTACAGGTTTCTCTTGCAGCAATAAACCAACTTAGTAGACCACCACTGCTGCAATGACTTCTTCACCCAAATGTCAAACCTAGTTGTTAGCTGGGTTGAAACAGCTTCATTTTCCTTAACACTTTTTTTTTTTTGAGACAGGGTCTCACTGTCACCCAGGCTGGAGTGCAGTGGCGTGATCTCAGCTCACTGCAGCCTCAACTTGCAAGACTCAAGGGATCCTCCTGCCTCAGTCCCTCAAGCAGATGGGACTGCAGGAGTGCACCACCATGCCTGGCTAATTTTTTCTATTTTTTGTGGAGACAGGGTTTGGCCATGTTGCCCAGACTGGTCAAACTCCAAGCCTCAAGCAATCCCTCCACCTCAGCCTCTCAAAGTGCTGGGATTACAGGTGTGAGCCACCGTGCCCAGCTCTTCATTATTTTTATATATTATTTAAAGACTAAGTTGTAGGAGGGTAGTTTTTGAACCAGTTAGCATTAACAAATATTTATTAAATGTATGTTATTATCAATATTTCGTTCCAGGAGCAACAAAATACACACAAAGTGACCTAAAGGATGATTGTTGTTTAGCACTTGGTTAAGGAGAAAATATAAACTTGAAAAATTAAATGGCAATATCAGATAATAGCAGAAGAGCTATTCTTAGGCATTATGTGACTAATTATAAAATAAGGAGAAAATTCACTGAAAAGGAAGAGATTCCTGGATTGAATAGGTCTGCAAAGACATCACTCAAGGTTTCTTAGCTGAGCATATGCTTAGGAATTACCTGCTCCAGGAAGGGCCCTTGGGGTGTGCTGGAGAGAATGTGCAACGTGAACTAGGCCTCTGGAAAAGGCAATTCAAATGGCAGGAACGTTAACAAGCAAAGGTATCATATGAGAAATTTACACAGCAATTCTGGTTGATCTGTCCTTGCATATCTCCAAGGAAACCTGGACCTATGATTGACTGTTGGCCAACTTTATGCTAACATTGATGATTTTGTTGTATGCACCTAGAGCAATGAACCATGTCCTACTAGCTTGTCAGGATTGCTTTGCACAAATATCAAGATTGAGGATGTATGTCAGGTTTCATTATCAGGGTCCTGACTTTCAGTTGCCATGGATGGTCATGTAGCAGAATGGACCTATGTGACCAGACTTCCATAAAAGACTTAGGCTCTGAGATTTGCATTGGGTAGACAGATTCTGCTGGAAGGAAAGCATGTCTTGTGTGGCTCTGGTTGGAAAAAACTTGAAAGCCTGTATCTGATCTCCTGGATTTTACCCAATGCTTATCTTCTTTCTGCAACTTCTGCTGTGTACTTTTTTGCTGTAATAAGCCTTACCCATGAATATAACCTGATATTGAGCCTTTTGAGTCTTTCTAAAAAATCACCAAACTAGGGGTGGTTATGAAACCCCTGAAATATGGCCTTTGAAAAGATGCAAAATACACATGAATTTTTGAGTAGAAATAATAAATATTAAAATCTTATGGGAAAAGTCAATTCTTTTTTTTTTTTTTTTTGATTCTGAGTTTCGCTCTTGTTACCCAGGCTGGAGTGCAATGGCGCGATCTCGGCTCACTGCAACCTCTGCCTCCTGGGTTCAGGCAATTCTCCTGCCTTAGCCTCCTGAGTAGCTGGGATTACAGGTATGCACTACCATGCCCAGCTAATTTTTTGTATTTTTAGTAGAGACGGGGTTTCACCATGTTGACCAGGATGGTCTCGATCTCTTGACCTCGTGATCCACCCGCCTCAGCCTCCCAAAGTGCTGGGATTACAGGCTTGAGCCACTGCACCCAGCAGGAAAAGTCAATTCTTGATTGCTGAATCTTGGTAAAGAATATGTAGGTGTCCATTGTAGTAGTATTTTTTTTTTTTTTTTTTTTTTTTTTGAGATAGGGTTTTGTTGTAGTCACCCGGGCTGGAGAGCAGTGACACAATAATGGCTCACTGTAGCCTTAACCTTCTGGGCTCAAGCAGTCCTCCCACTTCAGCCTCCCAAGTACCTGGAACTATAGGTGTATGCTCCATACCCAGCTAATTTTTATTTTTATTTTTGTACAGTCTTCTTATGTTGCCCAGGCTGGTCTCAAACACCTGAGCTCAAGTGATCTTCCTACCTCAGCCTCCCAAAGTGCTGGGATTACAGGTGTGAACCACTGAACCTTGCTTCATTGTCCTATTCTTCAAAGTTTCCTTTAAGTTTAAAATTTTTCAAAATATAAATTTATGGAAAAATGGGTAGTCTTAGGCAAAGAATATTCAAGAAATGTTAGCAGTTGCAAAGTCAATTATCATATGTGTGCAGGGACATATATGTGTATAGAATTATAGAATAATAGTTTTACATTTAACCATTAAGTCTGTCCATCTTTTCCTGTGTTTGCTTGGATGTGTGTTTTTCATTCTTTTTTTGACCGTGTACTCCTGCCTCAGGCAGATGAGGGGCCCTGAGTCCCTGGGCTGGAAGTGGGCCTGAGGCTGTGGTGAATGGAGAATAATTACCAGGTCAGTTTCCTATGGAGTTTCTGGGTCAGTAGTGCGAAGACCAATAGTCCAGGGTCAGGATGCCAAATTCAGACAAGGAAGTAAAAGAGAAAGCTCTAATTCAACGCTGATCGTTCTGACAGAGAAGGCAATGCAAAGAGAGTTCAAACAGTCAGACAAACCAGGAATGATTCCTGAGAAAAAAAATGCACACAATGGCAATTTCCTTTTTTAACTAGATCCTGCCACAGCTAAAGTAGCATATCCTAAAGTGAGTGATGCAGCTGGGGAGTGGGCCATTGTATTCTCACAGAGTTCTCTCTCAGCCTGAGATTGACTAATACTCACTTATATTTTCTTCTTTTTTATTATTTGAGATTTTTACATTTAATTCTTTTAATGCATTTTCTGCTTTTTTATTACATTTAATTCTTTAATATCTCTAGTTAGAAAACTGCATTTATATATGGGCGAGATTGGTTTATACTGTGCTAGCATCCTTGGTTTTATTAATAAAATATGTATAGTGGTCAAGAACATGAATTCTAGGCTGGCTGCAGTGGCTCATGCCTGTAATCCCAGCACTTTGGGAGGCCAAGACAGGCAGATCACCTAGGTCAGGAGTTCAAGACCGGCCTGGCCAACAGGGCAAAACCCCATCTCTGCTAAAAATACAAAAATTAGCTGGGCGTGGTGGTGTGTGCCTGTAATCCCAGCTACTTGGGAGACTGAAGCAGAAGAATCACTTGAACCCAGGAGGCAGAGGTTGTAGTGAGCCGAGATTGCACCACTGCACTCCAGCCTGGGCGACAAAGTGACACCTTGTCTCCAAATAATAATAATAATAATAATTAATTAAATAAAATAGGAACAATGCAGAAAAGATTAGCAAGGCTCTTGCACAAGGATGTCGTGAAAATATACAAAGTATTTCATATATTTCATTGGAAGTGTTTTCATCACGTATAGACACAAAAACATAACCATGTCAGGTGACGGTTCATTAGCTTAATTGTGATGATTATTTCACAATGCACACATGTATCAGAACATCGTGTTGTACACCTAATTTGTCAGTTATACCTCAATAAAGCAGCAGCAAAAGAAGGGGTGTTACCAAACTGCCTAAAAGTATAGTTGCCACAGCCCCCTCTGCCCCTCCTTTTCTCTCTTTCCTGCCTTTCTGTACTTGGGATCTTTAGCTTATGTGTGTTAAATTGGATATTATGAAAAACAAGAAATATCGAAGCTTTCTATGCATTAAGATTTGGTAGTATACAAGCTTTGATCCACTTTATATTTTTCAGTAGGTGGAACCATGTAGAATAGCTGGCATAAGAATTTTCTGGATTTTTTTCCCTCAAGTGATACTACTAAAATGGAAACCTGAAGATTTTTATAAGCAAATCCAGGCTAACATTGATTCAAAAAAAGCCACCAATATGCTGTAGCAGTGAATATTGCAGCCAAACTGAATTTCCTTAATTATAATCGGGTGAATTGGGGACTAGGAAAAACAGCTTGTTTACACATTTAATCATCCCCTATAGGTAAGAAGCTCAGAGATTTTCCAGGTGAATGATGCCTCTGATAAATATATCTCTGTCTGCGGACAGTAAAATGACTCAACAAATGCCATATGTAGTGTTTAGCTCTCGAGGAGACCTATGGCCTAGTTGGAACACATCCTGTATGCTGTGCCTACTGAAGAGTAGCATGAACAGATTGCTGGGAATAGCTCACGCCACATAGTGTCTGTCAGATGTAAAGTGCCAGGTCAAGTAGTGACCACATGCTATGTGGACACTGTGATTTTTCCACTTCCTTCAGTTACTAAAAAGCTTTGAAGAGGCCACACGCAGTGGCTCATACCTGTAATCCCAGCAGTTTGGGAGGCTGACGCGGGCGGATCACTTGAGGTCAAGAGTTCAAGACTAGCCTGGGCAACATAGCAAAACCTTGTCTCTACTAAAAATACAAAAACTAGCTGTGTGTGGTGTTGGTGGCTCTAATCCCAGCTGCTCAGGAGGCTGAGGCAGGGAAAATGGTTTGAACCCCGAAGGCGAGGTTGCAGCAAGCTGAGATTGTGCCACTGTACTCCAGCCTAAGCAACAGAGGGAGACTCTTTCTCAAAAAAAAAAAAAAAAAGAAAAGAAAGAAAAATGAATTATAGAGTCAGATTGCTTGGGTCCAGATATTGGCTCTAGCATCTAATAAATAATTAGCTGCATTAACCTCTTCATACCTCACTTTTTTTTTTCTATGAAATGCAGTGAAAATACTACCTGCCTCCAGCTATTGGAATATCACTAGTAATGAATATACTTGATGCCAGATCTTGTTTTATATATGCAATTTTACAAAAGAAGAAAAAAGATAAGAAAAGAAACCAGGGCAGCCAGGGGTGTTGTCTCACACCTATAATCTTTGCACTTTGGGAGGCCATTGAGGGAGGATCACTTGAGCTCAGGAGCTCAACATGGGCAACATGGCAAAATCTCATCTCTACTAAAAATACCAAATATTAGCTGGTCCTGGGGGCGCACGTCTTTAGTCCCAGCCTAAAATCTCAGCTACTTGGGAGGCTGAAGCACAAGGATCTCTTAAATCCGGGAGGTGGAGGTTGTAGTGAGCCCAGATCATGTCACTGAACTCCAGCCTGGGCAACAGAGTGAAACTGTCTCTCAAAAAAGAAAAAAGAAACCAAGGCTTTTGGAAGAAATGTCTGGTTCCAGGATTGGCACAGAGAAAACCAAGATCCGCCTGGAACATGTCATGATGCCAAAAAGTAAATGCTAAAAAAGTGACAGGGCATGTTGAAAGAACATAGGAGCTAACTTGAAGGGGATCCCAAGACAAATCTGGGACAATTTAAGCAACAAAATAAATAATGATAGTAAGAGGTTGTAACTTATGGAATAAAACAAATATCCATAAGTCTGGAGTGATAACAAGTTGAATAAATAAATCATTGGGGGAGTGGAGGAAATTCTTCTTTACAGTAGAATTCCAAGTAATAATTGATGAAGAAGTGATGGAAACAGAAAATTACCATTTGCCAGACACTACAATAAAAATTGTTTCAAGCAAGAGTCATTAACAAATGCAAAAATTGGTGGGCTAAAAGGAGAAATGGGATTTTTTACATAGTGTCACAGTATCTCCCCAGAAGATACTTATTAAATGGCAAAGAGAAAAATAATGTTACAGTAGAGAAATCTGGCAGATACTACCTTAATCAGGTGATCCAAGTTAATATCACAGTCATGAGGCCAACATATATAACCTGATTTGAATCAAAAAGAAACATCAGACGAAACCAAAATGAGGAACACTCTACAAAACTATTGGCACATACTCTTCAGAATTGTGAAGGTCACAAAAGATAAAGATTTAAGAAACTATCCCAGATTAGAGTAAGGAGACAAGTTAGATAAATGCATTGTGTGGTCTTTTATCCTGATCCAGGAAAAGGGGCACATAGGGAAAGTTGACAAAATTTAAATACAGTTCATAAATTCATTCGTGGCATTTAGTGTTATTTTCTTGGTTTTGATCATTTTACTCAATTATGTAAGATTAAACATTTGGGGAAGTTGAGTGAAGAGTATACAGCAATTCTTTGTACTATTTTTGCTATTCTTTTGTAGATCTACAATTATTTCATAATGAAAACTTTAAAATACATATTAATATATATATTCCTGTTTGTGAGTCTTTCTAGGCTCTTCTAATATATGTATTAGCAATAGACATATTTGTATAGATAGAGCTTTGTTTTGTTTTGTTTTACAGAAATGAAATTGCAATATACATGACTTTTCTTCCCACTCAACAATTGTATTAGCTCCTTTTTGGGTGTTGGCTTATCTCACAGAGACCTAGCTTGCTTCCTCCTCCTTAAAGATGGGCCCCAGACAGCCATAGCTCTGCTATATGACATCATTTCTTGGTTACAGATAATCAGACCATGTGAGGATATCTGACCCAAACTAGGACATCAGATTCTTTCTCTCAAGAATTTGAAATTGGACCGTAATATTCTTATTCAGACTGAACTATTCTCCTTAGTGAAGGAAATTTTAAAACTTCAAAGCGGAGGTTCAGCTGTAACCTGATGTATGAATTGAAAAGTAGAGACAGTTGCAAGGCAGAGAGATGAGACCAGAGAGACAGGGACAAGATGAGAAGACACTTCCCCTGCTTGAAAACCGTTTTCTTATCTCATGCTCTTTCTGAGGACTTCTGCCTTGGGATTCCACAAGACACATTCAAATTCTTTTTTTTAATTTTAATTTTTTAAAAAATATTTTACTTTAGGTTCTGGGTTACATGTGCAGATCATGCAGGGTTGTTGCATAGGTGCATACTATATTCGACATTTCTCCCCATGTTATCCCTCCCCACCCTTCCCCAAAATTTTTATAAGACATTTTCTTTAAGGCTCATGCCAGCTCTCAAGAGGCAGAGCTCACATCAGTTACGTTTTCAAGACTAATTTGAGGCTGGGCATTTAGGCTTACATCTGTAATCCTAGCATTTGGGAAGCCAAAGCAGGTGGAGGTCAGGAGTTCAAAACCAGCCTGGACAACATGATGAAACTCCATCTCTACTAAATATTAAAAAAAAAAATAGGCTTGGTGGTAGATGCCTGTAATCCCAACTACTTGAGAGGCTGAGGCTAAAGAATCGCTTGAACCTGGGAGGCAAAAGTTGCAGTGAGCCAAGATTGCACCACTGCACTCCAGCCTGGGCAAGAGAGTGAGACTCCATCTCAAAAACAAATAAATAAATATAAATTATAATTATTTATAAATATAATTTATAAAAATAATTATTAAAAATTATAATTATTTATGTAAAGAATTGCTGGCTGGGTGCAGTGACTCACGTCTGTACCCAGCACTTTGGGAGGCCAAGGTGGGCAGAACACTTGAGGTCTGGAGTTTGAGGCAGCCTGGCCAACATGGTTAAACCCCATCTCTTCTAAAAATACAAAATTAGCTGGGTGTGGTGACACACACTTGTAATCCCAACTACTGGAGAGGCTGAGGCAGGAGAATCAGTTGAACTCGGGAGGCAGAGGTTGCAGTGAGCCAAGATCCTGCCACTGCACTCCAGCATGGGTGACAAGAGTGAAACTCAGTCTCAAAAAAAAAAAAAACAAGAAAAATTGCTAACTAGCTACTGATGAACTGAAAGTGCAAAAGAAACTTTTCAATGAAAATTGAAATGTCAAAATTTGTTGACAATTTTTTGTTGAAAAATTCCTATAGAAAAATTACATGAATAGTACAGCAGAGTATCTGTATTCCTTTTAACTTGATTGATCAAATTGACTTTCTCCACATTTTCTTTCTTTCTTTTTCTTTTCTTTTTTCTTGAGATAGAGTCTTGCTTTCTCACCCAGGCTGGAGTGCAGTGGTGCAATCTTGGCTCACTGAAATCTCTGCCTCCCAGGTTCAAGTGATTCTCCTGTCTTGGCCTCACAAGTAGCTGGGATTACAGATGCCACCACCACACCCACCTAATTTTTGTGTTTTTGTAGAGATGGGGTTTCACTGTGTTGGCCAGGCTGGTCTTGAACTTCTGACCTCACGTGATCCACCTCCGTTGGCCTCCTAAAGTTCTGGGTAAACTATACCTGGCCTATTTTCTTCTTTTTTAAAACATTTATTGTTGAATAATTCAGACATATTTAAACACTAATTCTGAAGATTTCAAAATTTTCTATGAAAAAGTCCTTATTCATTAGAGATGCATACGGGAAGTATTTATGGCTGAAATGGCATGTCTGAGGTTTGCTTTAAGGTACATCGGCAAGGCCAGGCATGGCGGCTCATGCCTGTAACCCCAATACTTTGGGAGGTCAAGGCAGGCAGATCATTTGAAGCCAGGAGTTCAAGACCAGCCTGGTGCCAACATGGCAAAACCCCATCTCT